AGGGCAGATAAAGAGCTTCCCAGACAAGGTAAAACTAAAGGAGTTCATCATCACCAAATCAGTATTATATGAAATGTTAAAGGGACTTATTTAAGAAAAAGAAGATCAAAACTATGAACATTAAAATGGCAATAAATTCACAACTGTCAACTAAATCGACAAAACAAACTAGGCAAACAAGCAGAAGAGAAACAGTATCATAGATATGGAGATCATTTAGAGGGTTATCAGCTGGGAGGGGGAAGAGGAAGTATGGGGGAAATGGTGAAAGGATTAAGAAGTACAAATTGGTAGGTACAAAACAGACAGGGGAATGTTAAGAACAGTATAGGAAATGGAGTGACCAAAGAACTTATATGCATGACCCATGGACATGAACTAAGAGGGGGGAATGCCAGAGGGAATGAGAAGTACCCAGTGTAGAGGAGCTTGGGGGAAAATCAGGACAACCATTAATAGCACAATCAATAAAATATATTAAAAAAAGAAAAATCAGAAACAAAACATCATAAAAACAAATTAGAAAGAATTTATGGTCATACAATACACTATGGTTTAGTTGAACTTAAAAGCTTTATATGTTTATAATAAATTGTTATATACACTTGCCTTTTTGAGTACATTCATGAGGAGTCATTTTGGTAACTGTGTATGAAAAAATTAAATTATTTTTTCTAAATCTCAAAAGAGGGAGGAAAATTTAAATTGAGAAGCTTTGTGGTTTTTATCTAAATACTTATAGAATCATATAAATATGTACTACAGGGTGGGGCAAAAGTAGGTTTGCATTTTTTGGTATGGAAAATAATGCAATAATTAATAAATAATAATAATACAAGAATAAACTCTGTGTTTTACATACTCACAACTGTAAACTTACTTTTGCCACACCCTTATGTGCTATATAACATAATTACATAATATAGGTCATATATACTACATATATCAGATAAGTGTATCATTTACTTTTTGCCTAACAACATCTATTCTGGTTCAATCAATGGTCTTCTCCATTCTTAAAAATTGTCAAGGAAATCTTTAATAATGTCAGGTGATCAGAAACCTCTTATATCTAATCTATATCTCTGATTCTCATGAAGGAAGAGGAAAATTTTTTAAAATTGGGTTTATCGAGGCATCCTTTACATACATTGAGACTCATCAGTTTTATCTATACATTTCAATGTGTTTTTGGCATATGTGTACAACAGTATAATCACCTTGACAATCCTAATACAATATTTCTGTCACCCACAAACATTCCCTTGCTCCCCTTTACCATCAGTCTCCTCTCCTAATCCCTCATCCCTGCCCCATGCAACCACTGATCTGCTTTCTGTTATTACAGTTTTGACTTTACTATGATTTCATACAAACGCTTGTAGCCTTTTGGATCTGCCTCTGGCTCATTTCACTTAATGTAGTGCTTTTGAGATTATTCACGTTATTTCATGTGTCAGTAGTTCATTTCTTTTTAATGTGAAGTGGTATATTTGATTCCATTGGGCACATATCATAATTTATCAGTCCACCAGTTAATGGACATTTGTGTCATTTTAGCTTTGGACTATTACAAATAAAGCTGCTATGAACATTTACATACTAGTCTTTACCTGGACATCTGTCTTCATTTCTCTTGGATAAATTACAAGAAAGATTGCTTTGGAGTGGGTTGCATTATAACATGCATTTAACCTAAAAAAACTGCAAGACTTTTTTCAAAGTGAGTGTACTATTTTGCATTCCTGCCAGCAGTATATAAGAGTTCTAATTGCTCCCCTCCATCACTGTACTTGGTATTGTTGGTGTTTTTACTTTTAGCCATTCTAATGAATGTGATGATTTCTCATTGTATTAATTTGCACTTCCCTAATAACTAATATGCTGTGCATTATTTCATGTGCATATTTGTCTTTTATACGTTGTTTTTTTGGTAGAGTACCAGTTCAAATCTTTTTTTACTCATTTATTAACTGGATTATTTGTCTTATTATTGAGTAAAAATTGTTTATATATTCTGAATACAAGTCTTTTATCAGATGTATGCTTCAAAAGTAATATCTCCCAATCTGTGGCTTTTTTCTTAAATTTTCTTAATAGTAGCCATCAGAAAGTAGAAGTTTTAAGTTTTGATGAAGTATACAGTTTATCAACTTTTTTTTTTGTCTTATGCAGCATTCTGAGAAATCTGTTTCATGAAGCTTTTTACTATGTTTTATAGTTTCAGAAGCTTTATAGTTTTAGCTCTCATCTATAGGTCTGTTTCTTTTCAAGTTAATTTTTTGGTATATGGTATGAGGTAAGGGTCAAATTTTTTTCCATATGGATGTTTAGTTGTCCTAGCACCATTTGTTGAAAAGATTATTCTTTCCACTGTTGAATTACTTCGGTCTCATTGTTGAAAATTAAGCAAATATATTTGTGTTTGTCTATATTTGGATATTCTATTCAATTCCATTTAACTACATGTCTGTGATAATCTTTTAATAATTAAAATAATTTATTTTACTTAGGTGAAACATATTCTGTAGTTATTCCAGGATATGGGTTCTATACATTTGAACAATTTGTATTCTTCCTGAACATTTAAGATTTATCTGTTTTAACCATACATTTAAATGTCTTTGACATGTATAGTTAATTCATTAATTCAACTGAAAATATATGTGTATATTAAAGGTATTTTGCCATAATTCCTAGGATAGTAAGTTATCATTGTAGGGAATACACTTTTTATGTATAAGAAGTAATAAGCTTACAGCTTCATTTTCTAAGAATATAGAAAAAGGAATAAATAAACTACTGTCATGTGGAAATCTTTAAACTAACTCAAACTATATTCTATTAAGGAAAAGTGAACAAAAATATTGAACATTTCAAAGGATAAAGCAGAATAAATTCTGTTCTTTGGGAGTAACAGCCCCATAAATACCACAAATCAAGGAAGGGGATTTCCTGACTTTTGCTTCCAAGCAATTCCAATAAATGAAGGAGGAAGTGATTTTCCTTTTTTAAAAAAATTATTGTTGGTAGGATTAGTGTATTTCCTTTCACTCTTAGGATTTTAAACACAGGTACACTAATATCCCTGAATTTAATGAACTTTTGGGATTTTGTCAGATTCTTAGTTTTCAGAAGGTTAAATTGTTTCAGTAAAAAGTCACTCTGTTGTGGAAATGTTACAGAGGCAGGGAGATGCTGCATTACCATGAGGCAGGGAAACACCCTGGCATTAATGCCTGACTGGGAGGGATCCCTTGCTCTGGTGGAATAAGCCTAAACTTTGGAGTCAGAATGCATTTGCATTTCATTTTTTCCTTTTTACATGAGTCGGGGGACAAGTTTCTTCTCTAAGCCTCAGCGTGTTTATTGGCAGTAATATCTGAGTGACAGTAGTGTCACAAGGATTAAATTAAATGACACATAGTGCTCTGCTTGGCATATAGTACACATTCAGTCAATATTAGATCCCTTTCCCATTTCTCCCAGTGGTTCCTCATATAGGCTGAAAAGTTTTCTGGAGGTAAATTGCATACCTCACAGCAGAAGCTGATCTGTTGGTTTTCCCTCATTCTTTTAGTAACAGAATGATAGAAGTTTGAAAAGTGCTGGAGAACAGGAGAACATCTGAGCTTGGGGATCAGACTCTAGGATAAGAAACTAGTTCAACAGGAAGTGTGCACTGTCAGCCCCTTAAGGATCATATGCTCAAGGTGTCCAATCCCATCTCACATGTTTAATACCTCAAATGTCACTTGATGGTAGAAGACTCTCTGGGGAACTCTGTGAGAACAGTACCCAGCTGTAGTGGATGGCTGACCTGAGAGCACCTTTTAGTCTTTCTCTAGCCTTCTTTGTCCTCATGTAATTTAATTATGTCCTCTCTTGCTGCAGCTTTTAAATTCAAAGACACTTATTATTAGTGTCTGTCACCTTAAATTACCAGATTCTGGCCCTCTTCACCTCCTCCCACCTTTATCCTGTGAAAGAGACAGTGGTTCTGTCTAATTTAAGATTCTTCTGGTTCCTCCTCCCTGCTCCCCAAAACGCCTGCCCTTTCACAATTAATTTTAGTCCTAAAGGCAGGAAAAACTTTTCAAAATGCCCTAGCTTTTTATTGGAAAAATCTCCACATGTCTGTTAGCAAACACAGATTCTCAGTTAGTGTGCAAATATTTTAATGTGCTTTTGGGATATTGCAGAAAAACTATCCATTTTTATTTTGAGACTATCTGCCAAAAAAAATATTCTCAACCAGATAGGCTGATCATACTAATTTATTGTTATGCCTGCACCACTATTCCAATTCTGTTGAAGAACAAAATGCAAATTAAACTTTCTGTATACTGTTTATGCACAGCATTAGGCCCCAAGAATATAAAAAGTACAAGATTTATAGCTTATGCTTAAGTCAAAAGGAAGACAAAGTAGGATTAGAAATCAAAGTCCCTAATTCTGGTTTTTTGTTTTTTGCATTTAGAAAAATGGTATTATATAGTCCATTGGATTTATCTCAGTCATAAAAAATACACAGAACTCATTCTCTGATTCTATATATAAAATATATTCATGTGTATGTATATTTAACTTAAACTATTAACACCTATCAAATAATGTTTCAGTGACTGACTTCCAAAAGCTTTTTCTTTATTCTGCTTCTTCGTTCATGCATAAATCTGAGCCTTCTCAGATATATATGCGCGCTAACACTTTCTGTTAAAGTGTCACTCAGATGCAACACCATCAAGGGTAAGAAAAACACTCAGTCATTAATGCTTTATTCTGAAGAGAGTTCTAGTTAGAAGAAATAATTAAATATCTTTATTGTTTAAGCCACTGTTACATGGTTATTCTGGTATAGGCATACCTCATTTTATTGGCTTTGCTTTATTATGCGTTACAGATACTGTGTTTTTTACATGCTGAAGGCAAGACCAGCAAAAAGGTTACATCTCACTTTGTTGAAATACTTGCTTTATTGCAGTTCTTTATTTCAATACTTGCTGTGCTCTGGTGGTCTGGAAAGGAACCTGCAGTAACTCCGTAGTGTACCTGTGTTTGCTGCTGAAAGCACCATTAAATAAATTTGGCATGTAGATGGCTTTATTTAGGTATTCTTCCAGCTTTTCAAAGACTAAATCATTTAAATCTTTCTGTATACTGTATATTAAACTTTTCCAGAACACAGAAAAAGTAGAAATATGCCCCAACTCTTTCCATAAGATCATAAAAGGCTTGATACAAAAACCAGATAGGGAGAGAAAGAAAAATAAAGGCTCATCTTAGTATCAGAGACACAAAAATTCTGAATACATTATTAGTAAATTGAATCCAGCAGTGTAATAAATAATATGCATGATCTAGTTCAGTTTCTTCCACGAGTGCAAGAGTGGTTTAACATTCAAAACAAAACAATACAAACGATGAATGTAAATTACCATGTTAACAGATTAGAGGTGAGAAAAGCTAAGAGCATCTCAATAAAGGTAAAACAAGTATTTGAATTCAGTACCCATTCATGATAAAAAACAAAACAAAACAAAACTATCAGCAAATTAAAAGAAAACTTCCCTAATTTTTTAAAGGAAATTTACAAAAAACTTAAAGTGAACATCATTCCCAACATTAGCAGGTTTCTCTCCAGAACCAGGAACAAGATAAGGATGTCTACTATTACTACTTCTTTTTTAAGAAAATATTTTATTTATTTATTTTTAGAGAGAGGGGAAGGGAGGGATAAAGAAAGAGAGAGAAACATCAGTTGGTTGCCTCTCACGTGCCCCCAACTGGGAACCTGGCCCGTAACCCAGGCATGTGCCCTGATCAGGAATCAAACCAGGAACCTTTCAGTTTGCAGGACAACACCCAGCCCACTGGGCCACTCCAGTCAGGGCTATTATTACCATTTCTCATCAGTATTTTACAGGATGCTCTAGACAGGGCAGTAAGTCAAGGAAAAGAAAGAGATCTAAGAACTTAAAAGGAAGAAACTTAGGTAGGTAATATACTTATTTTCATAGAAAACTCAAAAGTGTATAACCATAAGTTATTAAAAATAATAATTTAGTTTAGCAAGATGGCTGGGTATAAGATCAATATACAAGATCAAATACATTTCTATACTTTAGCTGCAAGGGAAAACAAGTTAAAATGCCATTTATAATAATATTAAAAATAAAGTATGTGGGATTAAATCTAATAAACTATGTATAAGACATGAGGAGAAATTTTAAATTTTATTGAAAAACATAAAAGAAATAAATGAATAGAGAAATATACCATGTTCATATGTGGCAGGACTCAACTCAATATCAAAAAAAAGATATTCATTTTCCCAAATTGATCTGTATCAGTGCAATCCAATCAAAATCCCATTAGTATTTTTCTAGGAACATCACAAGCTGATTCTAAAAGTCAAAATAATTAATATACAATTTGGTATTATTGGTCCTAGGATGAGTAAATCAATTAAACAGAATATAGGATCTAGAAATAGATCTCCAGCAATAAAGATCAATTGGATATATGATTAAAGATGACATTTCAAATCACTGGCTAATTAGTTATTTAATGAAAAATATTGGGACAATTGGCTATTTGTATGGAAAAATAGGAAATACCATCCTTATCTCACATAAAAATACATTTTAGATTTAGTAAAATCTTAATATAAACAGCATCAAAAAGCAGAATATAGAAGGATTTGGAGCTGAGAGACAATAACTCAATAGTTGATATAGAACATTGCCCTGGCCAGGTAGCTCGGTTAGATGTTGTTCTGATATACCAAGGTTGCAGGTTCCATCCCTGGTCAAGGCACATTCAAGAAGCAACCAATGAATGCATAAATAAGTGAAACAATAAATTGATGTTTCTTTCTCTTTCTCAATCTCTCTCCCTTCCACTATCTTTAAAGTCAATAACTTTTTAAAAATGGTACAGTACATTCCACCTGGTACCAATTGATAGCAGTATATTCCATCTCTCACCTGGATTATGGCACATGCAACTTCATTAGCTAGTTTCATTATGACTTGTCCCCTTTAGTCCATTCTCTATATCACTAGAGTATGTGCTCTAGAATGAAAATTGTATTGTTACTCCTCAGCTTAAAATTTACTCATGGCTTTTCATTATCCTCAGTGTAAAATCTAAAACCCTCAACATGGCCTGATGCCTGCTTATGTCTCTAGCCTCATCTCTTAGTAACTCTACCTTCACTTCTACCTGAAAAGCTAGGTCCCATCTCTTCTGATCATTTTTAGATTTTTAAGTAACAATGCTCTATCTGGCTCCCGGACCTTTGTATGATAGTCTCTTGAACTGGAATACTTTTTCTTCCTCTATTTCACTTAGTCACAGTTGACCTTTAAACAGAATGCATTTGAACTACACAGGCCCACTTATACATGGATTTTTTTCAATAAATACTGCAAGTGTATTTTCTCTTATACTTTTTTCAATAACATTTTCTTTTCTCTAGCTTACTTTATTGTAAGACTAAAGTATATAATACATATGCAAAAATATGTACTAGCAGCTGTTTATGTTATCAATAAGGCTTCTGGTAATTAGTGGGCTTTTAGTAGTTAAGTTTTGGGGGAGTTGAAGTTATACTCAGATTATTCAACTCTGTGGGGGTCAGTGCCCCTAATCCTTGTGTTGTGTAAGGGTCAACTGAAAACCTTTTCCTATGCAGTCCCATCCTAGAGGTTATTCCTCTGGAAAACTTCCCCTGACACCCCAAATTTGGATTAAGCACCCCTTCTATAATCTCCCTTATTAACTTGAAAATTTATCCATTATTACTGCATTTATCCAACCATATGGTGATTGCTTATTTGCCCCCCCTCTACTACTTTCTTCCAATCCATGAAAGCAGGGATTGTTTATCTGATTGTTCACTTGTTTTATCACCAGTGCTTAGCACTTTTTTAGACATTCAAATATTTATTAAAAGAATGATTTCAAGTGTAATTTCCTCATCCTTTCCCCCCTTAACTGCTCATAATATGGCTCTGAAGCATATACATTTTGATTATTATATTTATCAAAAAATATTAGTTCTGGAAATATTTTCAAGGTAGCTGAATTGGCCAGAGTAGAGGTCAGCAAACTCTTTCTCTAAAGGGCCAGCTAGGAACTATTGTAGGGTCTGTGGATCGCAAACAGTCTTTGTTGCTTCTTCTTCTCTTTCTCCTCCTTCCTCCTCTCCCTCTTTTACTTTCATAATTCTTAAAAAATGTAAAAAAATGTTTTAACTTGTGAAATATATAAAATAGGTCATGGGCCAGATTTGGCCCATAGGCTATGGGTTATCAACTCCTGCACTAAAATACTAAAAGTAGGTTTTGTTAAAATTAGTTCAGCCACATTATCATTAATTTTCAAGATTTTAACCTTATAATTTAGATCGAATATTATTATTGACATTTTAGAGACTGGAAATTGAAGCAAAGAGAGGGTAGGTGATTTACCTAAGATAATATACCCTATGTAGTAGACTTCAGACTTGTTACTCTTGATTCATATTTGTTTTAAGTCAGTCCTAAAATATTCTATCTTTGTAAATAAACAGGAAAAATGGAGAAAAATGAACTAAAAGTTTTAGTTATTGTAATTGTAAGAAACATTATGAACATGTTCCAGATTCTAACATAAAAGGAACGCCCCAGAACCAGGACCATTGGGTAGATAAAGAGGATCGTGTGGAAGATTGGATTGTGTTAAAAGCATGTTGGAATAAATATGTGTAATGCCTTCCCAAGAAATGAGAAAAGGTCAGCAATCTCATCCAGGCTATAGCCTTATGGGAACTGACCTCATCTAGAAAGCAAACTGTTATTTTCAATTATTTAAATGTGATGGAAATTTGTGATAACTGAGCTCTGGCAGTTGGTTCTAAATAGTGTTCCACAGATTCTTTATCCTGACAGGAGTCCCAGATGTGCTCAATTTATCTCCTTTCATTGGGAGATTTGTTCTTTATATTTATTAGAGAAGTATAAAATTGTGTTTTAGGATTGCTTAGTTGATTTTGTGTTTTCAGTATTAGACAATGACAGGACCTGTAAACCTGACTTTTCAAGTAAAAGAATAGACTATGAACTCCAATGAGTTCATTTACCTGGCAGAATTGGAAACCAGGACTTTAGTTTTAGCACTCTTGTAATTATAAATTAGCACTTGAAATTAAAGTTGACCATATTTCTTTGTCTTGATTTCTGTTAGGTAGTTCGTTTTTTGGACAGTTAAACTAGATACAAAAGAAAGGACAGTCTTTCATAAGTAGCTTTCATTCTAGTTGGATATAATCACCACCTTATAAGAAAGACTTGAGCCCTGGCCAGGTGGCTTAGTTAGGTGGAGCATTGTCCTATACACGAATAGGTTGTGGGTTCGGTCCCCAGTCAGTGTGGGAGCCGGAGGCAGCTGATCTGCTTTTCACATTGACGTTTCTCTCTCTCTAAAAAAAGAAAGAAAGAAAAAACAAGAAAAAAAGAAGACTTGATACTTTATATTTATCCTTCTATTTTGTCCTCTGCTTGAAGCTCTTGATCAAGGCAAAGGCCTTTAAACTCAAGCAGGACCAGGTCCAAATCCTTAAATTGCACTGTCCTTAAAAGGTCTTTGTCTTCCAAACAAGTCAGATGTTGGAACATTCCCATTAGTGAGTCACACTGACCAAACAATGTTTCTGTGTGTTTTTTGCTGTAACTTTTTAATCTTCCCTTTTTTCTTCCTTTCCTTTGCCTATTAAATGACTACTGTGAATGCAAAACTCAAAAGTTAACAGGATCTTGTGTATAGTATTCTTATGATTTAAGAACTTTGGTTATCTGGGTGTTGACAGCAGAATATAGATCAGTTTTTTATTTTAATAAAAAAACTCCAAATTTTTACTTTTGGTATACCGTCTGTGGTGGTTTTAAAATATAATTCCCAAATTCTTTGGTATTCTTCCTTCCAAAAGGTGGAGACCCTCCCTTGAACATGGATAACACTTAGGGATTTGTATCTCGTGAGTAGAAGGTGGCAGAAATGACAGCGTGGCATTTCTGAGAATAGGTTATAAAAAGGCATTCATCTTTTCAGTCTCTCTTGAATCATTTGTTCTGGTAGAAACCAGCTACCATATCAAAGGATTCTCAAGAAGCTTTATGGAGAGCTCC